AGTGCATTTGGAAAGTATTCAGACCCTTCGACTTTTTCCACATTTTGTTACGTTACAGCCTTATTCTAAAATTGATTACATTGTTTTTCCCCTCGTCAATCTACACACAACACCCCATAATGACAAAGCAAAAACAGGTTTTTATAAATTTTTGCAAATGTATTAAAAATAAAAAGACTAATATTACATTTACATAAGTATTCAGACACTTTACTCAGTACTTTGTTAAAGCACCTTTGGCAGTGATTACAGCCTTGAGTCTTCTTGGGTATGACGCTACAAGCTTGGCACACCTGTATTTGGGGAGTTTCTCCCGTTCTTCTCTGCAGATCCTCTCAAGATCTGTCAGGTTGGATGGGGAGCGTCGCTGCACAGCTATTTTCAGGTCTCTCCAGAGATGTTTGATCGGGTTCAAGTCCGGGCTCTGGCTGGGCCACTCAAGGACATTCAGAGACTTGTCCTGAAAGCCACTCCTGCGTTGTCTTGGCTGTGTGCTTAGGGTTGTTGTCCTGTTGGAAGGTGAACCTTCACCCCAGTCTGAGGTCCTGAGCGCTCTGGAGCAGGTTTTCATCAAGGATCTCTCTGTACTTTGCTTCGTTCATCTTTCCCTCGATCCTGACTACTCCCAGTCCCTGCCGCTGAAAAACATCCCCACAGCATGATGCTGCCACCACCATGCTTCACCGTAGGGATGGTGCCAGGTTTCCTTCAGACGTGACGCTTGGCATTCAGGCCAAAGAGTTCAATTTTGGTTTCATCAGACCAGAGAATCTTGTTTCTCATGGTCAGAGTCCTTTATTTGCCTTTTGGCAAACTCCAAGCGGGCTGTCGTGCCATTTTACTGAGGAGTGGTTTCCGTCTGGCCACTCTACCATAAAGGCCTGATTTTGGTGGAGTGCTGTAGATATGGCTGTTCTTCTGGAAGGTTCTCCCATCTCCACAGAGGAACTCTGGAGCTCTGTCAGAGTGACCATTGGGTTCAGCTCTAGGAAGTATTGGTTGTTTCAAACGTCTTCCATTTAAAAATGATGGAGGCCACTGTGTTCTTGGGGACCTTCAATGCTGCAGAAATTTTTTGGTACCCTTCCCCAGATTTGTTCCTCGACACAATCCTGTCTCGGAGCTCTACGGAGAATTCCTTCAACCTCATGGCTTGGTTTTTGCTCTGACATGCACTGTCAACTATTGGACTTTATATAGACAGGTGTGTGCCTTTTCCAAATAATGTCCACTCAATTGAATTTACTAGATTTTAGTCATTTAGCAGACGCTCTTATCCAGAGCGACTTACACTTAGTGAGTGCAGACATTTTCATACTGGCCCCCCGTGGGAGTCGAACCCACAACCCTGGCGTTGCAAAAGCCATGCTCTACCAACTGAGCTACACGGGGCTACAGGTGGACTGGATGATCAATGGAAACAGGATGCACCTGAGCTCAATTTGGAGTCTCATAGCAAAGGGTCTGAATACTTATGTAAATAAGGTATTTTTGTTTTATTAATACATTTGCACAAAAAATAAAGTTATGGGGTATTATGTGTAGATTGATTAATTAAAAAAAATCCAGTTTAGAATAAGGCTGTGATGTAACAAAATAAGGAAAAAGTCAAGGGGTCTGAATACTTTCCCAATGCACTGTATATACCACAATTATTAAGATCTGATCATTTGAACATGTTTTTCAAATGACTTGATTCATGAAGTGTCAAAAAAACAGTAACCCCAAGCTCTATTTTAACAAACCTAACGCAATGATAAATCTTAGCGCTGGTGGTAGGGTTAGGTCAGTCGGTGTCAGAAATATTTGTGCTATTTTCACTGCGGGAATTATGAGTGCAATAGCTGCGGGTGGCACAAAAGGGCTGGGTTTTGATAAATAAATGATGGCTATGACATGGGCTTGGCCACTCACTGGCCAATCAACGTGCTTAATACTGCATGCCGTTGTCTCAAGGTCTGTAGATTACATAATTACAAATAATTTGTAGACTGCAAATTGACTGCAAGAAGCCCAAACAAATGTTTGACTAAAACACAATCATTTCAAACCTTGCTTACGTTTGTATATTATCACGTCATGTCTCTCTATTATGCATGGGAACAGATTTCTTAAATTAAAATCACTTAGAGCTGATTTCCCAGAGTTTTTTTTTTACGGTCTATTGTCCAACAATGAACACACACCCCCCCCCCCCCCCCCCCCTTACTGGCATCTGTGAATTCAATGTCAATTGCGCTGCTTTCGTGTGTCTCGTTTACCGCGTGCAGCGGAGGGAAAGTTTACAGACATGCCACAGTCCTAGCTAGGCTACTAAAATGTTGCAGTCTGGTTTCGGTTTTTAAATCTTGACAATTTAATAACCAAAAAACAAAACCTGCAACAAAACACCACGCAAAGGAGAAACATGTAGGCCTATGACAACATTTGAGCAGTAGCCTAGGCTGGCTGCTCAACTACTAGACATTTTGAGTGCTCCATACAGCAATGGTGCGTTCCATTTACATTTACATTTACGTCATTTAGCAGACGCTCTTATCCAGAGGGACTTACAAATAGGTGCATTCACCCTATAGCCAGTGGGATAACCACTTTACAATATCTTTTTTTTTTTTTTTGGGGGGGGGGGGGGGGGGTAGAAGGATTACTTTATCCTATCCCAGGTATTCCTTAAAGAGGTGGGGTTTCAAATGTCTCCGGAAGGTGGTGAGTGACTCCGCTGTCCTGGCGTCGTGAGGGAGCTTGTTCCACCATTGGGGTGCCAGAGCAGCGAACAGTTTTGACTGGGCTGAGCGGGAACTATGCTTCCGCAGAGGAAGGGGAGCCAGCAGGCCAGAGGTGGATGAACGCAATGCCCTCGTTTGGGTGTAGGGACTGATCAGAGCCTGAAGGTACAGAGGTGCCGATCCCCTCACAGCTCCGTAGGCAAGCACCATGGTCTTGTAACAGATGCGAGTTTCAACTGGAAGCCAGTGGAGTGTGCGGAGGAGCGGGGTGACGTGAGAGAACTTGGGAAGGTTGAACACCAGACGGGCTGCGGCATTCTGGATGAGTTGTAGGGGTTTAATGGCACAGGCAGGGAGCCCAGCCAACAGCGAGTTGCAGTAATCCAGACGGGAGATGACAAGTGCCTGGATTAGGACCTGTGCCGCTTCCTGTGTAAGGCAGGGTCGTACTCTCCGAATGTTGTAGAGCATGAACCTGCAGGATCGGGTCACCGCCTTGATGTTAGCGGAGAACGACAGGGTGTTGTCCAGGGTCACGCCAAGGCTCTTCGCACTCTGGGAGGAGGACACAACGGAGTTGTCAACCGTGATGGCGAGATCATGGAACGGGCAGTCCTTCCCCGTCTTGCCAAGGTTCCACCACACCGGTGAGCCATGCAGTGCAAAAAAATGAAAAACATGTTTTAGGTTTAAATGTTACAACAACCTAGCTACGTTTTTGTTATTTACATACTTTTTGATTAGGGTCACAGCATATTATGCATAGCAGCAAAGGCTGGACAAATATTTGATGCCATGTACAACATAAGTGGGCATTATAAAGGGCCATATTTTTTCAAATAAAACAATGGCCAGTTTGGGTCCACGTTTCATTGTAAGGAAAAAAACAACCGAATAGGCTATGTCTGGCCCACAAATGTGTTTTGTTATATTTTTTTATATGGACCTTGCGCTATATGGACCTTGCGACCTTGAGTTTGACACCCCAGCTATAAGGGCTTGTTTTTTTTAAATCAAATGAAACAGAAAACCAAGCAATGGTTACAGGAAAATAACTGAAATGTTTCTAAATACGAGTGTCACCGGATTATCTCACTTTCGTTCCATGATGGGTATATAGCCTACATGGAGGGGTTTTTACGCACATCCAAAATAATAACAGGAGCTGGCCAGAATAGTGTTAGCATACATAGATGACAAGGGGATGTCTGCTCACTGTTTTGGTGCTCTAAAATGTGATTATTTTAATAAAGCTTTGGTGATTAAGATTTATTTCAAAGAGGTCTCATGAGCCAAACCCTTATCGATAGTCTTGACTACTTGGTGAATGCATTGGGCAGGACAAAAACAACTGCAGTCATTGAGAGGAGGGGAGGCTATGCTTGTTTCTTTATCAAATGAAACGAAATGGGGGAAAAACTTTTGTTTCTAACTAAATGTGAGGTTTACGTGCACAAAAAGCACATCTCTCTTGTTCAATGTGCATATGGTCACTGTGCGTCATGGCTGGATAGGGTGCACTTCCTTTGTCAAAATCCATGCCATAACCAACCACGTTACCGGGAAGGCCATCTTTCGGTTGGTCTTAAATATCCCCACCAGCGCATACTGAATTTGGCATATTGTTTTTAAGGGCACACCTCAGAGTGTTTGAATCATTCCTGGACCCTCTCCCCTATAGTTGATCTCCATGAGCTATCAAAGCCTGTGCGCAGTACTTACAGTACTTATTTGGACTCAAAGCATTCAGGTAAATGGCTCAATCCTGTATTTGTGACGAAGGTTTTGATCACAGGTGTAAACAGATCTCCATCTCCAGCCATATCAGTCCGTGTTGCATATATTCAGGATTCCCATTGTCGCAGGATCTGTTTAGAATAACCTGGCTGGCTGTGTGTTAGCCTGGCTGGCTGGCTGTGCGTTAGCCTGGCTGGCTGGCTGTGCGTTAGCCTGGCTGGCTGGCTGTGCGTTAGCCTGGCTGGCTGGCTGTGCGTTAGCCTGGCTGGCTGGCTGTGCGTTAGCCTGGCTGGCTGGCTGTGCGTTAGCCTGGCTGGCTGGCTGTGCGTTAGCCTGGCTGGCTGGCTGTGCGTTAGCCTGGCTGGCTGGCTGTGCGTTAGCCTGGCTGGCTGGCTGTGCGTTAGCCTGGCTGGCTGTGTTATTGTGGGTCATGATGACTCGTCATAAGAAGGGAATAGACAGAGCAAATCGTTTCCCATTAGTTTGGTGTTAACCTTTTGTACCGGTGTATGAATATGGAGGGGGGGATAGAACCGCATGCCCCTGTGTGCTCATGCCTCCAATAGGAACATGTAAGTGAAGCACACGCTGCAGTGCACTGTGGAACGCCATTTTCCCGGTAACCGTAGAATGCATTGTACTTCCTGTCCTTCCCGGTCTCCCCCTCCCATAGACAATTCTAGAAAACAGTGCTGATGCATTCATCTTGCCAGAAGATAAGTCTGTGTGTACAAAAAAGAAAAACGAGCAAAATATGGCGATGAAATATTTGATTAAGTCAGACAATCCGGCAATTCCAGTTTCAAGGATAAGAGCTACATTGTTTAGTTACGAAAGAGAATAATGATATTGTCCAATGTGCTGCAAGATTCCAGCCTTGGTTTGTTGTAATGCTGATTCCATAATATTTTGGTACCAATGGAAGACTGTCTTTACATCTCTGCCATCAAATCTGGACTGAATTTCACGTTGGGAGAAACAGGTTGCTATTGCCACAGTTTCTCATCTGGTAAAATAAAAGCAGATGAGGCCCTCTGTGTGTGATGTGATGATGGGTGAGGGCACCCTGTCAATCTGCATGTTTGGCTCAAAACATGTACTGTGTGTGTGTGTTTCCAGAGGGCTCACTGCTGAGGACCAGATTGCCCTGCTGAAGTCAAGTGCCATCGAGATAATTATGCTGCGTTCCAACCAGTCCTTCAACCTAGAGGACATGTCCTGGAGCTGTGGTGGTGGCCCTGACTTCAAGTACTGCGTCAAAGACGTCACCAAGGGTGAAAAACGTGTACACACTCTACACACTGTACATAAACTGCCCTCCGTATTTATTTGGACAGTAAAGCTAAAATGTTAAAATTTGGCTCCATACTCCAGCATTTTGGGTTAGAGATGAAATGTTTTATATGAAGAAACTGTGCAGAATGTCACCTTGTATTTTAGGGTATTTTCATATCTGTTTTACCGTTTAGAAATGAAAGCACTATGTATCTAGTCCCCCAATTTGAAGAATTCGTAAGTATTTGAACAAATTCACTTATAGCGTATTAAATTAGTTAAAAGTTTAGTATTTGGTCCCATATTCCTAGCACGCAATGATTACATCAAGCTTGTGACTCTGCAAACTTGTTGGATGCATATGCTGTTCGTTTTGGTTGTGACCAATAGAAATGAATGATAAATAATGAGTTGTCATTTTGGAGTGACTTTTATTACAAATAAGAATAGAAGATGTTTCTGAACACTTCTACATTAAAGTTGCACTATGCAGAAATTGCTAAACTTCATGATTATTCCTAATCATGGCAGCATCCACATTAATGTAGAAGTGTTCAGAAACATAGTCTATTGAATTTTTAAATAAAAGTGACTCCAAAATGACACAATACATTATTCACCATTCAGTTCCTATTGGGAAAAACATAATACAACCAAATCAAACTGCAAATGCATTCAAGTTTGTAGCGTCACAAGCTTGATGTAGTAGTCATTGTGTGCTAGGAATATGGGACCAAATACTACACATTTGACTACTTTAACACACTATAAGTGAATTTGTCCAAATTCTTATGACTTCTTCAAATGGGGGCACTAGATATATAAAGTGCTTTCATCGCAAATCCAAAATGCTGGAGTATCGAGACAAATGTAAACATTTTAGCTTCACTGTTCAAATAAACATGGAGGGCAGTGTCAAACCACATGATCACACACTTACCCACTGTTCGCCCCTCTTTGTAGCGGGTCACACTCTGGACCTGTTGGAGCCGCTGGTGAAGTTCCAGGTGGGCCTGAAGAAACTCAAGCTCCATGAGGAGGAACACGTGCTGCTCATGGCCATCTGCCTGCTGTCTCCTGGTATCTACCCGCTTACTGTCATGTGTGCTTGTTAGTGTGCTTTGCATGCTTTTGTACATGTATGCCTTGTGTGTGTTTGTGCGCACATGTGCAGCGTGTTTGGTTCTGTTTGTATGGCATTTTTTGTGTGCATTCCCCTCTCTCCACCCCTCCTTTTAAGGGCCTCTCTCTCCTCCCTCCTCCCCTCCCTGTAGATCGTCCGGGGGTGCAGGACCACGCTAAGATCGAGGTTCTCCAGGACCGTCTGTCGGAGGTGCTCCAGGCCTACATCAGGGTGAACCACCCAGGAGGACGGCTGCTCTACGCCAGGATGATCCAGAAGCTGGCCGACCTGCGCAGCCTCAACGAGGAGCACTCCAAGCAGTACCGCTCGCTGTCCTTCCAGCCCGAGCACAGCATGCAGCTCACCCCGCTGGTGCTGGAGGTGTTTGGGAGCGAGGTGTCATAGCAGCCCCTCCGACCCCCCTCCCCATGAGGAACCACCTAGATGGAGTTGAGTTGCTGGATGGAGGGTTCAGGGATGGAAGGATCTCTGAGGGGGGATAGCCGAATGGACCTGATAGTCACACTGTCAAAGAGAAGGTTTTGGGGGGTTAATTAGGGGATTATGGGTGAAGAGAGGAGGGAGGGGCTTTGATAAGGTTGGAATTTCCCGTTGATAAGAAAAAGGGAATTTCAAATAGAATGTATTTATATGTGTGTGTATATATATATATATATATATATACATATAAATACATATAAGCTAATATCTATATTTAAAAAAGAAAAAGGTTGTTTCGATTAAAACAAATGGATGAGTAATCTTCTGTATATTATAGGCTATGTAGGCCCTATTTGTGTGCATATGAATGTGTGTATGTGTTGACATGGGGTGTTTCAAATGTAAAACATGTAATGCATGCACACAAGCATACACGCACAGACACACCCTGAGTAGAGTGTGAGGGGCCTTCTATTTTTGATGTTTGTATATTGAATGACCACGAGGGTGTTGCGCACAGGCTCTGACTGAGTGTTTAGTAGTAGGACTGACATCTGTGTTTAAGTCACAATTAATGGATCGGTTAAAGTGTAGGCTACACACAGGATATGTGTGGAAAATCTGGTAACTATTTGGATCTGTTGCCCCCTTCAACATTTTTTTTATTTTTTAAAAGCTCTTGCCTTCATAAGAGGAAAGAGCAACATGGTTTTAGTTCATTTTAATTCTGCATAATTGGCTAGCTAAAATAAGATTAGCTAAACTAACCTAGTAAGGTGACTAACGGCCGTCCCTCGGGAGAAGTTAGCCTGATTATTGTTCAGTGTACAATGTACACTTTACTTAATATGTACGCAAGCCTACAATCAAGGGGGATTGTTAAAAAAAACGGTTGGCCTCTTCAGTCAAACCTGTCTGTCAGGATGTAATGATTACTGTTGTAATTACTAAAACTTTTAAATCAAATCTGAAGATGCTTTTAAGGCTAGATCAAATTCTAATCCCGGTAAAATACAATCACAAATTCGCCCCCACCAGTTTGTTTGAGAGTCTTTTGGTTTAGCTTAGTAGGTCAAAAGTTCAGCATATCACAGGAGTGTTCTGCAGGTCTGGCTCGCCCTCTTGTGGTCATTGCCTGTAAATACCACTTGTTATTTCTGTACATAATGAAAAAGTTGGCAAATACTAAGATAATTCAGTTGAGAAGAATGCTCTGGATATATATGCAAAAATGAGATGGACTATTTTCTTATGTTGAGGTATCGATAAGCTTTGACAACTATATATCTATAATTGCTTTGATGCAAACTCATTACTTTGGACTGGTTTTATTTCAATCAAGATTGTTTCCGAAAATCAGCGTTCGTTCAGCTGCGCCAAGACCTTCTCACATACCAAGGAGACATTCTGACTCAACCTGCTGCTCTGTAAAGCTGCTCTGGAAAGCTACCATACCGTTGGAACCAGGAAAAAGACAACAAACACAATCATGCGCTTTACTACTAACACTGCCTCAACTCAAACTGACAAGGATACAGGCCAATCAATCAGTCACCGTAGCGACGGGCATGCCTCTCTTCAACATGCCAACCAACACCTTTTTTTGTGCAATAGAACAGCAGCCAGCCGCGCAGGACTCTTCATAGCTTTAATGCGACAGCAGCCATTCAGGCCCAACTCAATGACTGTAGTGCACCAAGGGCTGATGGGACTGAGTTTGTGCGTAGCGGCTTTGAATATGTCACTCAGATAGGGGACGTCCCTTACCTAGGAAGTGACTGACATCGAACTGATCTAGTGAGGAGAGCTTGGGGAGGTGGACTCAGGAGTGAACCCTGAGACTGTATAGAAGTGTATAACAAATCTAAAGAAGAATTTTAGAATAAGAATCACAGAATACATTGCAGCCCTTGTTCAGACCCCACTGTGTGTAAACCAGGTCATGTGGAGAAAGATGACTTTTTTTTTAACCTATCACGTATGCATAAACCAATGTAAAGGAATGCAGGAAAGATGGGATCAGGGACTCTAATGGGAGGAACTCCTCCAAGAGCTCTCTGCCTGCTGCCAAGCTGGCTCAGAAAGACACACCCCAGAAACTGCACCCCTCTCTCCCAACGCAGGTCAGCAACTCCACCTCGGTAGCCTTACAAAACTCTGTTCAACATTTAACAGATACCTCAATGAAACAGAAAATGTTCATAATAGCATAGAAGGGAACCAAACATAACACAGTGACCCAAACACACACACACACACGCATACATTCACACACACCACGACTTTCTCTTCAGCAACCTCTGCAGTGTTCTGTTTTTCGTCAAGTTGTTTCTTTGAAGTAAAACTGCTTAGAGAGCCGTGTTGCAAACCCAGTATAGAGGGATCACATTGTTTTCACACACAGAGTGTCTGTCTGTTTTTCTTTGTTATCACAGCAAGACAATCGTGTTAGAGGCAGGCCGCAACGTTCCACAAAAAAAACAAAGCATCATAGTGCGTCTGAATCAATGGTTCCCACTGCCACTTTGTCCAGTCCTGATCAGTATTTTATTGTGAGGAATAAGTGATGCTGAGGAATCACTAATAGTATGTATATCATGCAGTCACCATGGCTGATTTGAGGCAGTGTCTCTGTGATCAGTGCCTTGTCAGGTTTACTGACTGAAATAACCTGGATTGGCAAAAAATAATACATAGAGAGAAGTAATACATTTCTTCTTTCAGTGTAATATTAAGATCCGTAAATGAATGCAGGCAGGTTCCTGATAAGGCAACGCTCACAGCGGCCCAACCTACATTTTTGCCTGTATGGTTGCTGCTGGTTTCTGGTGGCTCTGTTGTATTGCTCTGGTAATGTGTGAAGCAAGCTGAATCCTGAATAGGGTTGCAAAATTCTGGGGACTTTTATTGAAAGTTCCTGGGATTTTGCAACCCTAATCCTGAATCCCTGTTAAGACTTGATTGTATACAGAGTCGTGCCGCCAGGCGCTGTGTTAACCAAAACAAACTACCTCTCCCATCCGCACATGTATTTTTGGCATGGTTGTTTCATCTATTTTTACACTAATTCATTTTATTTATTCCTTTTACTCAAATGCTGGATGATTTACCTCAACACATCTCAAAATAAGCCTACAGATCAAGAGGAGGCTGTCGCCACTCCACGTCTCTTAGTGTTGGGGGGCTGAAATGGCTCCTCTTTTTATTAAGTGTCACCTTCAGCTTGTAGCTGGGATATTATGACATCGCTTCCTCATGCTGGAGGCCTAAGTTAGCGTCAGTTAGCGATCTGCATAGTAGGTGATATGATGTAGTTTCAAGATTTATGAAATGTTTTATGAAACTGATATGTTGGGATCCTGTCTTGATGTTTTAGTTGTCTTGCGTCTTTGCAGTCGCTTGCTCAGTCTGCCCTCAGCAAAGTGTTCTACTGCCTCTTTTACTCATAGCTCATCACTCTGGAATCCAGGTCTTTATTGTAAAACGCTGACGTACAGGACACAGCCCTATGGTGGCACAGTGCTTTACCAACAAAGCATACTGTTTAAATATGTTTCTATAAAGGACTCAAGGAAGTTGTGTGTGTATAGTCATAGTTTCTCTGTAGTGATGGCTGGGGAGATTTTCCCATTCCTAGGTCTGTGATTTCTTCTTGAGGGGCAAAACATTTTTCTTTGGATAGAGAGATGAGAAAAGAGATGATGGTATGCGGATCTCTGAGGAGGAAAGGCTGTTTTAGTCTAGTCATATTAATGCTGGTCACTTTTGGAATCTTTTCTTTTTGCTCTGAACGTTATCTGCTACCTCTTTTAATATGCGCTTTCTCACACACATGCACACACACATACCACAAACAAACACATTACTACAGTATGTGCACACACTGTGTCCACACTTTCACCAGCAGTATTTTGCCAATGATGCACTCGTATTTCTGTCTCTGTGCTCTGACTTTTGTCTGAAATCTATTACTGATGATCACTATAGCAAATCTGCAATGATGGAGGCATCGCAGGGTCATTAACAGTTTGTCTTTTAACATTGAATGCACATTTTAGCTCAGTTACCTTGGTGTGCCTAGAACCCGGAGCCTTATTTTGGGACAATATCAGGGGTTTAATAAAACAAAGGACTTTTTTTCTGATTTAAGACATTGTTCAAATGGCTTTTCACAACTACATTCCTTTTATTGTCAAATCAATCTTTAGTGGTTAGGAGAACATAACCATCAGCTCACCCCTGCTGGGAAGCACATGTCAAATAGTGATCCACCGGATGCAAATATGCTTTATCTTGAAAGCTATGAAGCTCTCTTTAGCCAGATTCCTTAAAACATAGTGCATTCGGAAAGTATTCAGACCCCTTGACCTTTTCTAAATTTTGTTATGGTACAGCCTTATACTAAAATGGATACAATCGTTTTTTCCCTCATCAATCTACACACAATACCACATAATGACAAAGCAAAAACAGGTTTTAGAAATGTTTGCACATTAAGTATTCAGACCCTTTACTCAGTACTTTGTTGAAGCACCTTTGGCAGCAATTACAGCCTCAAGTCTTCTTGGGTATGACGCTACAAGCTTGGCATAACCTGTATTTGGGAGTTACTCCCATTTCTAATCTGCAGATCCACTCAAGCTCTGTCAGGTTGGATGGGGAGCGTCGCTGCACAGCTATTTTCAGGTCTCTCCAGAGATGTTTGATCGGGTTCAAGTCAGAGCTCTGGCTGGGCCACTCAAGGACATTCAGAGACTTGTCCTGAAGCCACTCCTGCGTTGTCTTGGCTGTGTGCTTAGGGTCATTGTCCTGTTGGAAGGTGAACCTTTGCCCCAGTCTGAGGTCCTGAGCGCTCTGGAGCAGGTTTTCATCCTGACTAGTCTCCCTGCCGCTGAAAAACATCCCCACAGCATGTTGCATCCGTAGGGATGGTGCCAGCTTTCCTCCAGATGTGACGCTTGGCA